TAATTTTTATGGATGACATCAGCGCGCGCATTACTTTTCGCCTGATTTTGGAAACAAAAACAAGAAATTTTGTTGCCTTCTGACAGTGGTCAACATGACGAAAATGGGCAACTGCCATGCCGGAAGGTTCTGGCTCTGAGTTCATGTTTTGTTTCCTACTTTGATGCAGTGATATGTGATGTTGGCTGTGTGTATGTGATGTTCCCACTGAATCAAAACCATATTTACAATGATTTAGTCAAAAATTTAAACTGTAGGAGCCTTGTTTTTTTCGGCCCGCCTTGTTTTTTTCGCCGCTCGCATTAGATTTGGGGTCTGCGGAGGATGTCATCCATACAATTTACATGCTGTGGCCTTAGCATGAATGCTTACATGTATAAGACCAGGACCAACATAAGGCCCTCTGGGTCTTTCATCCAGCGGAAATGCAATTATGACTCACAAAGAACTGGTAATCACATTCTATGTTATTTGTATAACAAATACAATTGCCCCCATCCCCAATAATTAGATACTATAGCAGCATTACGGATTACAACTACAGGATGTGTCTCTGATTGATTTGTACATGTTCCTAGTCCAGGTTGTGTGAAATAGGTATGAAACACCACGCCTTGGAGGGAGAGAGTTGGGACCGGTTAAAACCGGCCACTGCAGGTTAGGTCATTACGGTGTGCTGTCTGTACAACTGGAGATGCACTTTGGGTTTGGAGTTATTCCCTCCTCATTCCCATTTCCAACTTATAGCTATAGAATAGTAACATTTGCAAAGCAAATGCATAATGTTTACCTAGTACCTTCGCATATGGTCTGCTCTGTTAATTCTTGATCTTTTTCAAACACATTCATATATATGGTCAGACAAGGGTCTAAATCCCTCCTGATATAAAATTGCAACATTATGTAACCAAACACTAGTTACCATGGTAACAGACAGTCTGGTTCAGGTCATTGACCTTTTTGGTTTGGAGATGACGAGGAAACGTAGCAAAAACAATATGTTTTCCTTCGGTAAACATAAAAAAACGCCTGGGAATATTGGCCCACTCTACCTTCATACCAAATTTCAAGTCATTTGGCCCCAAAATGAAGAGATTGAATACATTTAAAGAAACTGTAGGAAGTATGAATACGTTTGAAGTGATTCCCTCCACTTCAGTTAACTCCAGTAGAACCACTCCCCTGGCCTGCACAGCTGGTGGTCGGTGGTCTGGTGCTATGAAAAAAAAACACCTGTGTTTACCTAATCGATAACTCCGAATAATTTCCCCAAACAAGATCAATGAATTCCATTTATGCTGATTAAGATATTCAATGCAGCAAATGCTTTTTCATAAGATCTAATCAGAGAATCAATGCGACGGAAATAAGCATCAAACGATCGTCTTTGCGACTGTGATTACCCTCATTTCAGCAGCTAGCATCGCGGAGGGCCATTTGCAGAAAAATGCGAATGATGTTAGCCTCGATAATAGCATGGCAGGCTTTTGGTAAGGGATGTTTTATCCCTAGAATTAGCTCCTTCTTCTTTATTTGTTATCTATTTCATTTACTCTTTATTTCATGCATCCATGGTCCATATAAATGAAAGAAAACATACATATAGAAATACACATGAAAGCAACAGTTTAAAATATGGATATGAGTACAGACGGACCAAGATATTACGAAAGAATTTGTCGTGGAAGATTAAATCTGACTTGATAACAGATTGGATAATGTTATTTGAGGAGTTGTACAGACGAGATATGAAAGAGTAGCCTTGTTTGCACCATGTAACGCCAAAGATGTCTGTCATTGGCTGTCATTTCACTGGCACTGCAAAATCTTTCTCTTCTTTCTTACAACTTCTGGGCTACTCTTGCGAATACCTGATCTTACTAACAACTTGTAATTTATAGTTTGTCCTTGAAAACGGTACAACCCGTGGATTTGTTCTTGAACATCCGTTTGATGCTGAACTCTTTTTTTTTAAATCGTCGCCAGGATGTAATCATGTGCAGCTTAAAAACCATGTCCGTGTTATCCCCACGAATTTATAGTTTGTCCTTGCAAACGGTACAACTCGAGTATTTGTTGTATGAATGTTTCTTGAACATCCGTTTGATGCTTAACTCTTTGTTTTTAAAATCGTCGTCCGGATGTAATCATGTGCAGCTTAAAAACCATGTCCGTGTTATCCCCAAGTCGAGCTGAACTCAATCAGCCTCCGGATCACAGCCAGATCGATCCGGTCTAAGACCGTCGCCCCAGACAAAGCTAAGCTCCAA